TCTTTCTGCAAAATACTGTAGTTTGCAATGTATGGCTCTTACATATCTTTTATCAGATGTAGGTTTCATAGTTCACATTTTCCCAAGGTAATAAAAGTAGTATTGCTTTTAAACTTCAATTTTCAAATCTTCACCGCAAATAATGGAAATACAATTTGTTTTTATATTGGTCCTGAAATCTTGTTGGACACATTATTAGTTCCACTGGCATGGTGGTAGAATTCACAAATTTTCTAAATAGACAATGAATAAAGACAGTTTTACCTCTTCCTCTCCTGTTTGGATTCCTTTCATTTCTTTTCCTTGTCTTATTGTACTGGTTAGAATATCCAGTACAATGTTGAACAGGAATGAGAGTGGACATCTTGCTTTGTTCTGATCTTAAGGGGAAAGCAGTTTTTCACCATTAAATATGATGTTAGCTACAGTTTGTTTGTTTGTTTGTTTTTTCATTTGGTGTAAGTCCTTTATTAAGTTGTAGATGCCCTTTATTAAGTTGAAGAAGTTCCTTCTGGTTTGCTGAGAGATTTGATCAAAAATGCATGTTGTATTTTGTCAAATGCTTTTCTTATTCTATTGAGATGGCCATATGGTTTTCTTTTAAAATTTGTTATATTAATTTTCTATGGCTGTTCCAACAAAGTACCGCAAACTAGGTGGCTTAAAAGAAAAGACAACAATTCTTTCACATTTCTGGAGGCAAGAGGGTCAAAATCAAGGTGTTAGCAGGATCTTTGAGACTCTGGGATAGAATCCTTCCTTGCTTCTTTCTAGCTTTTGGTGTTGGCTGTCAATTCTTGACATTTTTGAGCTTTGTAATCACACCACTCCAATCGCCATATCTGTCGTCATATGGTGCTTTCCCTGTGGGTCTCTGCCTTCACATGAGTTTTCCTCTTCTTGTAAGTACACTGGTCACATTGAATTAGAGTCCACTCTAATAACTCCATCAAAAAATGATTGCATTTGCGAAGATCTTTTTCCAAATAATTTGTAGGTACTGGAGATTAGAACATCAACATATCTTTCCAGGTACACAATTCAAGCCTTTACATTGGTAGCTTTTCAAATGTCAAAACAATCTTGCATCCTTGGGATAAACTCATTCAGTCATGATGTATCATTCTTTTTATATACCATTGAATTTGATTTAATCAATATTTAGTAAGAATTTGCATATGTTCATGAAGGGTAGAGGTCTATGTTTTTTTTTGAAATTTTTAAAAAAGAGTTATTTTATTTATGCATACAAGAGCTGGGGTACAGGCCAGAGGTGTAGGGGCGGAGAGAGGATTCACCAGAGACAGAGTGGGGAACAAAAGAGGCAGATTGACCAAAGTATGCTGCTCAGAGGAGTAGAGGAGGAGGCAGGAGAGGTCTGCTGTGCCATGTGGGTTGCTCCCTGGCCGGCCAGGCGATGGAATTTGTGCTGCAGAGGCTGTGAACAGCTTCATAGGCTGAAGTCTTAACCCCTTGCGCCACCAGGAAGGCCTATGTTTTTTTTTTTAAAACTGATCTTGCTTGATTTGGCATTCAGACTAATGCTGGCCTCATATAGTTGGGAAATATTCTCCTTTCTTCACTTTTCTAGAAGAATGTGCATGGGATTGGTACTATTTTTTCCTTAAATGTTTCATGGAATTCATCAGTGAAGGCCTATGGGTCTTGGGTTTTCTTTATGGGAAGCTTTTAAGCTACAAACTTTAATTTCCTTGATAGGTACATGGCCATTTATCAATTCTTTTGAGTGAACTTAAATAGTTTGTGTCTTTAAAGGAATTTGTACATTTATTGGCATAAAATTGTCCATGTTATTCTCTTATTATTCTTCTTGTATCTCTGTAATCCTTAGTAATGTCACCTCTATTATTCTTCCTGTAAGTAATTTGAATCTTTAATTCCTTTATTTCAGTCTGCGAGAGATTTATTATCGATCTTATCCAAGAATCCACTTTTAGCTTCATTGGATTTTCTCTTTTGTTTCTGTTTTCTATTTCATTGTTTTCTACTCTGACCTTTAAAAATCTCCATTCTTCTCCTTTGGGTTTCAATTGCTTTTAAGGTAGACTAGTAGATCATTGATTTAAGATCTTTCTTTTCAAAATAGGTATTTTAGTACTATAAATTTCCCTCTGAGTACTACTTTAGCTGCATTCCACAGATTTTTATATGATGTGTCTTCATCTGTTCTCCCTTTAAAATTCTTTTAATATTTCCTTTGAGTTCTTAGTTGACCATGCATTATTTCGTAGTATGGTATTTAGTTTCCAAATATTTGGGCGGATTTTCCATATATTTGTTATTGATTTCATATATTTGTTATTAATTCAGTTGCATTTAGAGGCCATGCTTTGTATGGTATTTTTTAACTGAGGTATAATTTGCATACCTATTTGTGTAATGTTAATCCTTTCAAATTTATTGAGTTGTTTTATGCCTTAGCATATAGTTCCTCTTGATAGATGTTTCCTGTGCAGTGTGTATCTGCAGTTATTGAGTGGTACATTTTATAAATGTTAGTTAAATTGGTTCGTAACATTGCTTAAATTTTCCAAATCCTTACTCGTGATCTGTCTTCTTATACTATCTTGTATCTACTGAGTGAGACAGATATTAAACTCTTTGACTACAATTATGAATTTATCTATTTCTCCTTACAGTGCCATCAGTTTGCCTCATGTATATGGAAACTCTTTTATCGAATGCAAACCTTTTAAGGTTATTATGAATTGAAATACCCATCTTTATCTCTGGTAATTAAAAAAAATCTTTGTCTGATATTAATATAGCTATGACCATTTAAAATTTTAATGGAAATTGCCAAATTTTTACTCTTAAAAACCTGTTGTTATATAAAGTTTCCCACCAGTATGGTCCATACTTATGGAAAATTTGATATGAACCATTCACTAAACATCCAATTCTTCTGAATTTGGGGTGAACTAATGCTCACGCCAACCCTCTGGTTCTCTGTTTGCACAGTGGTGGCAATAGCATCTCTGCCATCCTGTGCAAGTGTGGCCAGGCCAAGGTTTAGGTGTAGGGTTAAGGGAAATGTCAAATTTAGGAAAGACCAATAAAGAGTATTTTCATTGTCAAAGCTGGTGGTCGGTAAGGGGACATCTGGTAACTTTAAGGCAGTTTCAAGATTTCAGGACCAGATGACTTAGATGTTGTAGCAGTAAACTTGCGATCTCAGTGTCATTATTTATACTTTTTAAAAAGTGGGGTCTGATGGATGTACCCAAGATTGGAGAAAAGCAATTGCATTTATTTTTTTTAATGGATGACAGAAAACATCTGTAATATTAAAGACATTCTGTAAATAAAAGTGATGAGTACAGGGAACCGGAAAAGGTTTACTAGACATTTATTTAACTTATTCTATTTGCTGTTAGAATTACTCAGTTGGTAGATGTGGGAATTTTGATCTGACAGGTGGAACCATGTAGATTGCCACAGACAAATTGACCCAGAAGCTTCTAACTGGTGGATAGCAGGCCATCAGCTGTAGACTAGGACCTGGTTTTCTCTTTAGGGGTGTTTTCACACAGTAGGTCTGGCCACAGCAGCTTCTTCTGTCTGGATGAGACAGCAGCAACACCCTCCAACACACCACATTAAGTACTCAGGTCTAGAGAGCCTCTGTTTGGTAGGCTGTACAGTCACTAGAACTATAAACAGAATACTGGCTAATTATTGTTTAATTATTGCTTAAAAACCAATTGGCACAATACAATCACTGCATTAATTACCCCATACAGCATCTGCTTTCTTTTTTGCCTTATCCCCATTTCCCCCCAACCCCTCTCCCCACTTTAATTGAAATTCAGCTTGCTGTAACACCTCCTTTCTCCAGGCCAACTGCATCTCTCCATTCACACGAGGGAGAAGAACAAAACAGAGAAGGCCCCGGGGATTAGGGAGTTTTGACAGCTGTCCAAGAGGAGCGCTGAGGTACCGGCCAAGTACGGAGGCAGGACAGAGACAAATGAGAGCGAGAAGAGAGTGACTGAGGGCGGCAGAGATGGGCAGGGAGACATCTGAGGAGAAACGAAATGGACAAAGAGCACAGAGCTAGGCAGCGATGTGTAAAGGGGCGCTGAGGGGGGAAAAGAAGAGAAAAGCTAAAAAAGAGCGGATCCGTGGGGCGATGGTGAGGAGAACGCGAGAGGCTCAGGAGGGGAGGAAGACCGGAGCGAGCTTGCCGGGAAGGAGGAGGGAAAAGTCCGGTCTCTAGGGACGGGTCAGCGCAGCCCGGGGACGGGTCCGCAGAGGAGGCGGCGGGCAGCTGCGGGCGCCTCACGCACCTGGGAGCAGGGCGGGGTGGAGCGGGCGCCGGCGCGCCGGGAGCCTGGGTGCGGGAGGCCGGGCTCGCGCTGCGGGGCGGCGCAGCCCCCGCGCCCCGAAGGGCGTGCGCCCCGCAGCCCCGGACTCGCCCGGCGGCCCCGCCCCCTCCTCCGCCGGGCTTTTCCTGCGGGGCTCAGGAAGCCGGCCTAGCGCGGCCGCCCACCACAGCCCGCGGCCGCCGTGCGCGCGCGGGGAGGCCGGCGCGGGGCCGTGGCGGCGGGCGGGCGGCGGCCGAGCCCCCGGGAGCCCGCGGCGAGCCCCCGGCGGCCCGGGCGGGAGCGCCGGCCCCGCTCGGCTCTGCCCGGGTCATTGTTGGCCGGGACCGCGGAGCGGGAGCCGGGGGAGGAGCCGGGAGGCGGCGGCGGCTGGAGCCAGAGGGGGAGCCAGAGAGCGCGCGCGGGGGGAGGCAGCGAGCGGGCGAGCGAGAGCGAGGGAGGGAGGAGGTAGAGAGACAGGGAGGGTGGGAGGGAGGAGGAAAAATAAAGAGGAGAGCCGAGCAGGGCTGAACAATAGAGACAGGCAGACGGGCGCGGAGAAGAGCCAGCTGCCGCTGCTGGGGGAGACGGGGCGCCCAGGCAGCCCGGACCCCGGTCCCCGGCCCCGGTCCCGGCCAGACAGCAGGCGGCCAGCGCCCCCCGGGAAGGGGTGCCATGGGGGAGCCGGCGGTGGACGCCCCCAGCCCGCCGCGCGCCTCCGCCTGAGGGAGGCTGGGCGTCCTCTGCTCCAGCCGCCCGCCCTCGAAGCCCGGAGTCCGCCGGGTCTGCGGCCGCCGACGCTGCGCCCCGCGCCCCGCGCCCTCCGCCCACCGGGCGCCAGCAGCCCTCGGCCCCGGGCTTGGCCGGCCCCCGCGCACGCCCTCCCCCAGTCATGAACCCCCGGAGGGGGCAGCGGAGGAAGGAGGAGCTGCCGACTCGGACGTGGACGCCTTTTTCCGGACAGGTAAGCTGGGCAGGGCGCGGGGAGACTCGGCAGGGCCGCTGCCCAGGACGCGGCGATTCGGACAAGTTTGGGGAAGGAGGCTGTTGCTGGGGTGTGCTTGTTGGGGGACAGTCTCCCCGGTCGTCGGGGCTGGAGTTGCCGCGATTCTTGTTGTTATGGCAATGCTGGTTGCGCTTTGGGGAGGGGTGGGGGCTGGGAGCCTGGCGCCCCTCGGTGTTCCCCCGAGTTGCGGGAGTCTGGGCTGGGGAGGCGGGAGGCGGTCCCACCGGGCCGCCTTCTCCGGGAGCGCGGGGATGGGGCGATGTTGGATCACTTTGCAGCGCGCGGCTCTGGCTACCGGCGTCCCCGGCCCCTCCCTCGACTCCCTCCAACCTCCACCCCCCACCCCCAGCGCCTGTCAGCCGGGCTCCGGCCGCCCTAGGCGGGCACCCCCTCTCTAGCCGGGGGCCCCGGGGTGCTAAGAAGGGTAGTGGGGACCGGGAGTCACGCAGGCTGAAGACTGACAGTCGGCAGCGGGGCGGACGGAGGCCGGTCACGCTTAGTGTGTGCAGGGAGCCAGCGAGCGCCGAGACTTAGGGGGCGGACTCGGCTCCGAGGGCGTTGGGTGCCGCGGACCTTCTCCTTGTGCTCCTGTTCTGCAGTTCTGGGAACTGTGAGCTTTCCTTAAGAATCACTCATTCCTGGAAGTGTTAGTTAGCGTCCCCCTCACACACACCCACTGAATCTTTGCTTTTCTATGGTAGTTCGAGCCCTGAGATCGGGTCTTTCCAACTGTTTGCAACCCCTGCTACCTCCCATCGCCAGGTCCCTAGGTCCCCCTGTTCCCTGGCTAGAATGTCTCTTCCCCAGAACAGACGCCCCCCTTCCACCACCTGTGGCCCTGCTTTTCTGATGGCCAAAGATTCTCCATCTCCCCTTTACCTGTGGCTTCCACCAGCTTCATAGGTAGAGCGTTCCATCTCCTGTGTCTGGAACCATTTTGTTTGGAATCTTTGTCCCAAGGAGTCGAGTAAGTTAGGGGAATCCTGCACATGTGCCCTCTCATTTGGTAAGTTGGATTAGAGGACATGAACTGGTGGGGTCAGCTATCAGGTTAACTCTGAAGGCTCTCTGCATCCATCTGTTTCCTAACCTCATTGCCTTGCCCTGGAGGTCATATCTGTGGAAGGGGGTGGGGTGCTTTGTAGGAGAGACTTGTGGCTTCAGAAATCAAGACTTGATTGGCCCATATGTTCATTCTCTTGTTGGTCTGAAGAGGAAAGAACTGGAGGGCAGGAATTGATGCCAGGGCCTGGAGAAAGCAAAGGGAGCCCCTGCTATCCTCTCCTGCTACCCAAGGCTCAGCCTTGCTCCCTCCCTTTCTTTTCCCCAGATGTGAATTCTGTACACACATCCTGTGTCTCTATCTCTTTCTCTTACACACACACACACACCCCCACAGACACACACACAGAGTGTAAGACCCCAAAGCATGGATTCTAAATAGGTGTTGCCTTGAGTTTATAACTTGGCATCTAGGAGAAAGATTCAGGGATCTGATAAAGGAAACACCAGGAGGTCTCCCCTAGCTCTCCTCTGCCCTTTGCCTCCAGTCTGTGGCTAACTTCTGCTGTTTCTTAGTTCTAGGGAAAACTCTTAACTGTGGGAGGCTTCCCACCTTCCCTTTCTGGATGCCACTTTCATCTTTTGGCAAACAGTCCTACTTCCCCTTTCCTACCATTCAAATGCCATGCCTGTCCCAGGCCCTTGGAGCAGAGCTCAGTTTCTGGAGGCTTGCTAATTTCTGACAAATGAATTCACACAGTGTTAATGGTGTTAATGGCCTATAATGGTCCAATGTGTTACATTTCCCAGGGCCTTTCAAAACACAACGTGTGGCTTACATTGTCTAGCCCTGGCTCAAATCACAGAGTAAATAGCAGACTGGAGTCTGTCTCCTGTGGGATTGTAGTTGAGGATATTTTCCTTTCTCTGTGGGCAGTTTTGAGGACTCTTGGGAGCTTAAATCTGATGTGCACATGGTATCAGAAAGGTGAAATCCTTAATGCACAAACTGGAAGTGACTGATGACCTGTAACAAGTTGCAAGAGTGTCCTGCTCCCTACTGCTGGGTCTAGGATTCCCATCCTCCCTGTGCAGTGCTCTGTGCTCTGATTCCTGATATTATCCCTCCCAGTTCTAACCAAGTTCTTACTGAAGATTATCAAGTCTGGAAAAGGCCATATTTCTAAACCTCCTCCCTTCTGACTCCTCATCTCTATGAAACATAGCACTACACCTGGTAGGCTGGATGTCAGTTTGGACTCTTAATCTTGTCCTCTTCTGATTACATTGGCATTTCAGATCTCTTGACCAACTGATTAAGCTACATTCCCTAAATCTCAGTTCCCTGCATGTACATGGACATACACACACATACCAGCCCATTATTATTATTTATATATTGGGGGGTTTCACAGTGTCTTCCTGGGAATTTTCTGTTTTAACTATGTGAAAGTTTATCACAGTAGTTTTATTGATCATGGTGGTGGGGCAGAAGTTTGGCAATATGAGGGCCTCCCCGGTGGCGCAGCGGTTGAGCGCTGGGTTGCGAAGCTGCCCGCGGCCTCTGCGGTGCCGGTTCGATCCCCGGCTGCTCCCCGGCCACCGGCGGAGGATCCCACATGGCGCGCAGACCTCTCCTGCCGCCCGCTGCTCCCCTCAGCAGTGTGCTTCGGTCCTTCTGCCTGCTCTGCTCCCCGCTCTGGCTCTGGTGAATTCTCTCACCTTCCCGCGCTTCTGACTGTACCCAGTGCATGTATAAACAAAACAAGCAAACAAACAAAATAAATAAATAAAAAACATGCCTCTATAAAAAAAAAAAAAAAAAAGAAGTTTGGCAATATGGGAACTCAAAACTGGGAATATAAAGTAATGGAAGTAGAAAACCAACAAGTTCTTTTCAACTCCTGCTAACATCCTTCTGCTGTCCAGGGTGCTGTGGAATACAAAAGAAATATTGAAGTGGTCTCTGCCGGCAAAGAAGTTTTAAAAGGAAATTGACAATTACTGCTAATTACAGATTATTTAATTTGTAAACATTGTGGTGCTAGAAGTTAAGCAGTTGACAGAACCACAGAGGAGGTGCAACTGAGGGTACTCCTTGAAGGGGGGTTGGAAACAGCATGGGCAAAGGCACATGGGAGGTTGGGGTGCTGACATTGAGAATCTGTGGCTGGAAGGAATGCAGTAACAGGTGTGGGTAATTAATGCAGGGCCAGATAGGGGGAGTCTTGTAAGTCCAAGAGAGGGGTTCAGATTTGATTCAGGGTCAGTTGGAAGTCATTTTAGGTACTTGAGTAGGGCACATTCTGAAGAAAATGACACTTAGAAAGGTCAATATGGTTGATGAAGTGAGGAAGAGAGAGAAAGAATCCAAGGAGATGAAAAAGGTGATTCAGAACTGAAGGGTCTTTGTCAGGGTTGGTGTCAAAAAAGGATGGGGAGTCAGGGACAACTCTGAGAGACATTTTCAGATTCAGGAAAGTGGGGATATGTTGAAAAAAAAAAAACTAGCTGTAGGAGGGAAAGAAAATTAAGTCTACAAAGAAAATGAAGTAGTTGGGTTGAAAACCTAGAGGACTGACAGTGTCCAGATTGCCGTGGTCTGGTTGACAGGACTTGGTTTTGCAGATAATGACGTTTAGCTTTGGATGTAGAGAATTGGAGGTGATTGAAGGACATCAGGTGGAGTTGTTTTGTGAGAAATGTGGGACTCAAGGTGTTATGGAGCAGCCCTGATATAAAACAGGTTGCCTAGCTGTGGGTCCTCACCCGCGCGCTTAAAAGGGACTTATTAATACTCCACTACAGGCACACACAAAAGGTTAATAAAAGGTTTATTTACAAGGGAAAAGGAAATAAGGAAAATGTACAACTCAGGGAGAAAATAGGGAAATAAAGTCTTTAATGCGTCTTACCCGATCCGCCGACCTGGAAACCCAAAGGCACTCCGAGAGCTGGCCTAGCGCTGCGAGCTGGCAGAGAGACAAAAAAGGGAATCCCCCAAAGCCCACGTGTCTGGTTTTATACCCAACCTGGCTGCTTAACCCCACTGTCAGGTCCCAGCCACCTTCCCTTTGGTGGTGATGGGATTTGTCTCTCCCAATGTCTTTTGGCTTTGGTCTGGGGTGGGGGTGGAGTCCACAAAGCCTGTATGGAATTAGCTTTGGGACATCCTTTTCCCCCTAACAAAGACAGAAGCATAGGTAGAGGTTAGGCCTGGTGATGTGGACTTAGAGGCTTTCTGTGTCAAGACTAGATGACCTTGTAAATTCATGGGCTTTTAGAGGGAGGAGATGGAAGTAATAGGGGGTTAAAGCTAGAGTTTTGGGGAGAAACCATTCTCTAGGAACGCAAAAGAGACTTGATCCTGGAGACCACAGGGAGTCAGTATGTATTCTGAGGTGACAGCAGGCTTCAGATGGCTGAGCAGGCAGAGTGTTAGTTAAGTGTCACTGGATGTGTTAAAAAGAAGGCCACAGTGAGCCCTGGGAGCACAATAATAGGAAAGGCATTTAGAGTAGGGATTTGGGATGGTGGGTGCAAAGTAGTTACTTGCAAAGTTTATCAGTGAGGGCCTCCCTGGTGGCACAAAGGGTTAAGTCTCAGCACTATGAAGCTGTGGGCAGCCACTGCAGCACAAGTTCAATCCCTGGCCAGGGTGTTAACCCACATGGCATAGCAGACCTCTGCTATCTTGCTTGCTGCTCCCCTCAGCAGTGTATTTCAGTCAATCTGCCTGTTCTGCTTCTCATTCTGTCTCTGGTGAATCCTCTCATGCATGTACCTCTGGCCAGCTCTTGTATGCATAAATAAATAAATCTTAAAAAAAAAAGCTTATCAGTGAAAGGAAAGGGTTGGGTGTTAGTCAGGAAGGATGCTAGTATCAAGAAAAGGAGTTTTGGGGTTTTTTTTTGACAGAGTCAGAACACATTTGGAGATGGAAGGGAGAGATCAGT